AACAGTTGTTCCCCAAGGTCTGTCCTTAAGTTGAATTTGTATGTAGCTGGAAGAGTATGATTGTATAATACTGTACAAGTAGTATTGTGTAATCAACTCGAACCATTTTATATTTAACTTGAATCGTGTATTTAATTTGAATTTTGCTACAGTAGGCTCCATCCTTAACTATGGGTCATCCTTAAACCGGGCAGTCTTAATCCGGGGACTGCCTGTATATACTAGACAGTAATGGTTATTTCCTATGAGTAAATATGCACAGGATTACACAGCATGTCAGATTAAATTTTGGCCAGGTACAAAACAGAAGTGTCAGGTTACACCAGAAGCTACTGGAAGAAAGACACAATGGCTGTTCCAGTTTGAAAACAAAGCTCTCCATTATTCAACTTTGTCTTTAGCATTTATCAGAATATATCAGTTCCTTGCAAGGCAAAGAACAGAAGAAAAGTTGGTACTTCTTAATATTATCAAAGCTGGACATTATTTTCAGGTAATGTACTAAGTAAAAAGCTAATACAACCTCATTTGTGCAGCACTATCTGTTAGTTGTCTGCTCAGATTTAAGAGGCATGAAATGAAATACTTAGCTTTTCACGATTTTTCTCCAGCTAAATTTTGTATTTGACAAAGATGATAAAAATAAAAAAAATCAAGCAGAGGTTTTTGTTTTTAGGGTAATCAAAGTGTTATACAATCTTGGATAAGAGCTGATTTTACCACCAGAACATTTGGAGTTGAAAATGGCAAGTCACACCCTTTCTCTTACAATGGGCGCATGGTCACCGATTCTTGTTTATCCATTCCAATTACCTCCAATGTACTTTCTACCTCTTTTCTCTCTTTTCTAGTCTGGAAAAGCTAGTGATGGACGGCCCAGAAGGATGCCTGAAATCCATCACTTTTTTCTGCCCTCTCAACCTGTTGTCTGTCTGTTTTTTTCCTGTAGCAGAGAAAGACAAAACAACCCTAGCCTTTAGATATTCTTTTGTCCTCATCCCTTCATGCTCCAGTTTATTCAGTTTCAAGAAACACAGGAGGGTAATATAGTTTGCAAAGAAAAAATGGAACAAATTCAAAAAGCAGAGGGTTTTTTTCAGCACTTCTCTTATGGCCACTCATACCTAATGGGATTAGTGTTTACCTGGCCCTAAATGAAGTGCATTGTTAAGCTTAAGAGCATCTCAACACTATAAATTCTGGAAAACACTAGTCCTTGAAAGTGTTCTCTTTTATTGAGAATTGTCAGCATACTCAACAAAGTATCAGTTTTCAGGAACTTTGGGGGGCACAGGACTGTGAAACTCGTGTAATGTACATATGTGCATGCACAATTTAGAAGAAATATAGCTGAAATCTCATTGGCAACTGCAGGTTTGTACCAGCTTGAAAACTAGCTAATTATAATCAGCTTCCCACAAAGTACTCTGGGAACTGGTTGATTTTTTGACAAGGCTGGCAATTGTTTGTTAGAAATCTCCATCATTTGACAGAACAGTTCCTGGGATCCCTTGTTGAGGAAAAATTCCACTTTAAAGTGATATAAAAATGCAGCAGCAACTCAATAAACCTAAGAACATTTATGCACGCTCTCAGAATGAATGCAAAGTGAAAACAATATGGCTCTCTGCTGAGTAAAGGAACTTTGCAAGCTAGAAATACAATTCATAAATGTATCTTAATTATTCTTTCTATGAAGTAACTTGTCTCATGAAACAAGCAAATCTGATAGATTTCATTGTAGCCTTTAAGCAGCTAAATGCTAGTTAAAACCTGTGAACATGTCCACATGATTTCCTCTAAGTAGTGAGGTTCTTAACGAATGGCGCCTCGTGGATTAAGGAAGATCATCCATGCAGATACACCACAGAGGCAGCTGGAACTTTACCCCTAGATGCAAGGTTTTTATTTTCATCTTTTGGTGTTCATACTTTCTCTGAGGTAGGCCATCAAAATAGGGGGTTTATCAAAAAATTGCTGGAAAACTTTATAGGATGAGCATGCTACCTCTGGCATACACATGCCAGCTCTCTATTGGGGAAAAGCCTAAACCGGGCCTGTTTTGTAACTTGTATCTGCGTATGCAGTACTTAAGAAATTGATCATATTAACTTCATTCTAAAACCGTCAGAATTATGTTGAATCCTGTTAAGGCCCACTCCACCTGAGAAGTTATTATTCATCTATGATCGGCTGAATAAAAGAAGCAGGATTTAACCCAAGATTTAAGTTTGTGGATAGATTATAGATGTTTATAATGCAATGCGTTCTCCTATAAAATACATAGTCTAAAAATTGGGGGGGGAATACTGAGAAATGTTTCAAAATATTTCTGCTCTGTGAAGACTTTCTTCATGGGCTCGGTCTCCATCAAGATTTTATAGCATCAGCATTTAGCAATTCTAAGAATCACCTGATGAGTTGCTGCCTTTTGGGAAGAAAACTGAAAATCAACAATGCAAGTGAAATGAACTTTTGTTGAAGAAACTAAGAGGTTCTGTTTCCCTTCAGTTTTATTTCATGGTGGCACAAAAGTGAAGAAAGTGATAATCAAGTATCATGTAGTCTATTCTTTTCTAGCAATTCTTCTATTTTACTGTCTTTAATGCTGTTACTCAGATAGGGGAAAAAAAGCAATGGGAAAATTATGGGAATGACAAATGGGAAAAAAACCCCTTCTAAAACCTATGAATGGGCCAGGGCATTTGCGCAGTAGAAGTTTCATGCAGAAGCACTCTTGAGAAAAGGACTATTTTAGAGAACAGCTTTCAACAGAGCTTCTAGATGTGTTGGACAATACTTCCCATAACTTCCCTGCCAATATTGATGGGAATTCCAGTCTAATATCTGTAGAAGGCACTGGACTGGGAAAAACTAGTCTTTTCATCTTGAGAAGGTGAATCTGAACATCTGGATATCCTCTGATAATGTCTCTGAAATTAATTATTCTGGTAGAGATAGTGAATGCAATTAACTAAGGGACCTAAGCACATCAGGAGTGAATCCACACAAGGAATGAGAAAAATTGCATTCAGTCATTGGAGTCGTAAATGTGTACTAGTCCATAGCTAGATATCTTAAGATGTCTGGTGTGTCTAGATAGTCTATAGAATTGAATTCCAATAAGGTTAATTGTCCACCAAGATGCAGAACTAATGTACATCCTGAATAATTCCTGGATCATGCTGAGAACGTTTGGCCATCCAGATGTGAAACTACAGCTTCTTGCATCTTGCACTACTGGCCATATGTAATAGAAATGGAAATTATAGCTTGTTGACATCTGGAAGGCAACAGGTATCCATCCCATAGCTGCCCTAAAACATTTCTGATGCTAATATATGAACACCATTAACAACTACTGAACAACTGGCCATACTTAAAAAGGTTCTATCACGGGTCTGGATTTTTTACGCATGATCAATTCCATCTTGTAAAATATTGTTAAATCCTCTAAAAGTTTAATACTGAAACTTTCCAAGTATATTTGTGTTTGCACAGGCATGCATATTCATGTACGTACACAGACATGTACAAATATATACCCATTCATATGCATACATGTAAAAATCCTGCTGTTTAGACTTCTGTGGTAGATAATGAGAGTATTTAATTTCTTTATTATTTCTGGAATTTTCATTATCATTTAAATGTTATTTTACATTAACTGATTGGGAATTAGGCAAAGCCATTATTCAGAAATGGGACTAAGGAGAGGCAAGTAAGTATAATGAATAATTCATGACACCCAATTATATGTTACAGTTCCCATGTACTTTTAAAACTTGTCTTATCCGCCTGTCTGTTGTGAAATGAAATGATGCGTAAACTCATAAAAGTCAAGCGGCAGCACAACACTCCTGGCAGCTGCACGCTCTGAACTTTGCCACCTCTTTTCTGAAATGAGAATCTCGAGCACGAAGTTTGGGGGTGGGTGAGATTTGTCAGCCCATCTAGCTTCTGCAGGCCAGCTTGCTCGTACAGAAAGAGAAAAAGCGGAGCGAACAAAAGAAAGGCATGGAATTAACGCGATGCGTTTCGATTAGACAGTTCCATTAGCATAGAGCGATGCCAGAGAGTAGGGGAGAACGGCGTTTAGGGGACCGAGTTCAACCGTTAATTTGGCAGAGCTGGGGAGGAGGGGGAGGAGGGGGGAGGAAAAATTGGAGGAGTGCTTGAGGAACCGCTGCATTTGAGCAAGGAGCACTAGGTGGCAGTCTTCGTCTTCGCTTGCAGAGCGAGCGCCTCTCCGGAGACCTCTGGGCCTGCGTGTGTGTTCGTGTGTGTGTATGTGTGTGTGAAAAAGAGGGCGAGAGAGTCTCTGACGAGCCGGCGAAGTCGATCCCATCGCACAAGCTGCAGGCGGCGTCCCCCGCTCCCCCCGCGCCGTGGCAGCAGTAGCAGCAGCAGCAGCAGGAGGCTTTACCTGTATGCAATGTCTGGGGCAATCGTTCCCCTCCCCAATGATTTCTCGTGCGATCCCCCCTCCGTCCCTCCCTCCGGACAGCGGCTGCCCCCGGGAGAGCGCCGCCGCAGCCCCGCCTTCTGCGTCCTCGGACCTTTCATCTGCGGAAAGTTTTATGACACTTGGTTGAATGTGCAAAGTTTTTAATTAGACTCTCCAGACAGCCCGAGGCGGCAGTAGCGCCACGAAGTCTTCCTGCCCTTCCCTTCTGCTTTTTTTTCCCCCTCTTGCAGCACAACAAGCCGCTCTACTCCTTTGAAGACAATGCCGACTATGTCTACGACGTCATGTGGTCCCCCGTGCATCCCGCGCTCTTCGCCTGCGTCGACGGGATGGGCCGATTGGATCTCTGGAACCTGAATAATGACACCGAGGTGAGGCGGGGAGGGGATCGGGGCCTGGGTGAGGAGGGGGCTGGCGGCTTCCTTGCCTGCTCTTTTTTTTAGGCTGCTTTTGCAAAGAGGAAACCAGGGAGGAGAAGGGGGCTGCGTTGCCCTCCTGAAGCCAAGCCTCCCCGTCTCTTCTGCTGCGTGTTCATTTGAGGAGAAAGCGGGCTTCTCCCCGCTCCTCGCCTGTTCCACGGCCCTCCTCAAACCTGCCCCTAGGAGAGTCCCACGCCCTCCTAGGCTTCCAGGGAGAAGCCCCAGCCGTCTTCCTCCTCCGTGGCAGGCTCGTTCGGTGACCTCTGGATGCACGTGTCCAAGCTAAGCACCCCTTCACCCCTCATTCCTTTTTATTTCTCTCTGGCAAATCGAGGAGCCTGCGAATCGAACCAGAAAGCCATCGAAAAGTCGGGGAGGAACCCCCCGGGCTGCACAGTCGCTTTTGCTGATTTGTGGAAAAACATTGCCACCGATACTCGATGATTATCACCACACGAGGCCCGGTGCGCCACGTGAAGGCAGCTGTCCTCTTCTGCAGAGGGGCTGGCGTCTAATGGGCGACGGTGCCTACTCCTCCCACTCGGCTCTGCCCGATTCCTTTAGGGTAACTTCCTGTCTCTGGTGGGCTACGTCTCCCCTCATCCCCAGCCAGGAAGGTCATGCTGGCTCAGGATGATGGGGGTTGCAGACTGGCATCTAGAGCCCCACTTACATCTATTTGTAGATGGCAACAAAAAGGTGCTTTGCATTTTGGGGATACGTGAATAATTGGTTTTGTAATACCAGTTTCCCCCCTTTTTAAAACATGCTTCTATATGATATGGAGGTAGAATTTTTCCTTCCCACTTGGTGGGGTCTGCAAGTTTCATATGCATGTGTAACTAGCACACTTTACTGTGGTCAAATAGCTCAGGAATGGGTTCTTGCTTTTTTTTACCCAGAAACAAAGAGGAGGAGGCTTGGACATGTTGATGTGCTGTTACTTATTTGTGATTTGTTAAATGCACAGTGCATTCTGACATTTCCTTTAATATTTTTCCACTTTACTGCAGAAGCTTATACAGGATAATGGAGAAAAAAGGAACACAGTTTGCTCTCAAGTTCTTTGCATGCAGAACTTGATGTTTATACAACACATTAAGCTATAACAGTTTGTTTGCTTTTAGCTTAATACTGTGGGTGAACTCAGCCATTTTGGTTTGTAAACCATGGCTTAACATGTCATGATAACCCAGCCAAGTGTAGTATTCAGTAAACCAGCCCTGCTTAACCAGGGCGCTCTTCGTATGGATAGAGCATCTCCTGGAATTCTCAGCACTGGGAATGGAAGTCTGGCTATTTGAAGATGGTCCATTTGGGGAAGATTGCTGTGCATCACGGTTAAACAAACCATCGTTTTGTGCAGTGGATGAATTCAATCTAAGACTGCATTCTGGGATGTATTTCTGAGTGGCCATGCATAACAATACACTGTAAAGTACATTTCCCTGAAAAAAGCTCCACAAAATATTTTTGTTCAGAACAAACACATGTGGCCATGGCCTACATGGTTTCAGTCCTTTCCTCACTGGGCTGGGAGCAAGCCCAGTAATTCAGTGGGCTTTAAAGCTTACTAAACCGGCACAAGATTGGGTTTAAAGATGATTTAGTCAAGGTGCATTTATGAGATCAAATCTTGTTAAAATCTCCGGAATTTATATTGGCCGTCATTTTAAGTATATGTACTCCTTGACTCTAATTATTTACTCAGTGTTTAGCCCACTGAATTCAGCAGGCCATCCTGCTGGGTACAGATGTGTATATATGCAGCCCTGTATGAATGTTGGTTGTTACCACTTCTCTGGTGGTCTTTTGTACTGCAGAATTGAGCAGCAGTCCTGATACTGGATAATTTTACTGTGGCTTTATGAACCCAACTATTGTGATTTGTAAACTATGGTTTATGGCATAGCACGTTACATGAACCCAGCCACTCTGGTCCATTTAGTAAACTAGGATCAACCGTGATTTAGTGCCATGTGTGAACCCACTCTCAGCTTCACAATGATATGGAGAAAATAAAAGGGACATGAAGAGCTAAGCTCAGGAGAAGTGGAGTGATAAAATGATGTGAATTAAGAATTAACAGACACAAGTAGAGCAGGAATTGCTTCTGAAGAAATGCAGATTTACAAAGATTAATAGGGAAAATAAGCTGTGGAAAATGCAATAAAAGATTGTATCTTTGTATATTAAGTGGATTTAAAGTGTTTTTGTTCTCAACTATTTTTAAAATGTTCATGATTTCTTAATTTCTTAACTTTAAAACATGGTATATCATCGTCATCATCATCATTATTAAATTTTTATCCTGCATTTTTTATATATAACTCAAGGTGACAGACATACCTAATACTAAATATAGTATTTTTTCAGACAATTTGTCTGTAAATCCTGTCTAGTGTCCTTGCAATTAGGTCTGATTTACACAAGCAGCAGAAGGAAGCTCTGCTTATGATTGTAATAAACGAGCTATATTTTTCCAGTGCTTTTTTATGGAAAACCAACTAGCAGACACTTACAAGTGGGATACCAGTAGTTAGTTAAAACAGGTTGGACTAGACAGAACCACTTTTTCTCATATTTTGCTTGAAGGGAAGGCTGCATAGAAAGAATTCTTTGCCTGCAGACTCTAAGGGTTCAGTCCATACTGTACTTTTCTCTCACGGTCTTGCATTTATATATGTGGTCTAAGCTAAGATATTACTACTTAATGGATGATCAGTTTTATTCTGAAAGTAAACCAGGAGAAACCCTCAGTTTTGTAAAGTTCATTTGTTGTTTGGAGGTGATTTCTCAGGAAACGATGTACATGTCTATCAACGCATTTGTGAATGCAGATAGGTTATTATTTTATGTTTATTGTGGCAAGGTTTATTTGAAGCAAATATCCACTTAAAATACTAAATGAAATATTTTTGGGATATTCTGAATTCATATTTAGCAAACAAGTCATTCACACTGCCGTAAAGCATATTGAAGTACAAGAATAATATTCTTGTAATTCAAGTTAGCACTGTTATTTCATATCCGTGTTCTGCTGTGAGAATCTTATGTTTTTAACTGAGATGTGGATTATACATTTTCTAAACAAATATTTTGAGAGCTTTCCGCCTTTCTTTTGTGCAGTATGTATTTTTTCCCTTTCCAAGCACACACTTTTTCCTTTGCAAAGCTCTTGCAGTTAAATTTTTGAAATGTAAGAACGAAGATTTCCAGCAGCCAGAAATGTAAAAATAGGAACCATATAGAGAAAACATTAGCATCGGTGGAACGAAGTGGGAAAGTTTTTTGAGAAGATACATTTGGTACATGAAAATCAATGTAGCTGTTTTTGTTGTTCTTTATCATTTTGTCTCATGTTGTTTTAGTCTGAATTCAAAAGGCATGCAGTTTTGTCTCTTTCCACATTGTGAAATAAGAGTGCATATTTTTTATCTTTACAGAAATGGTCTCTTGAACTTTTTATTCCCTTTTTCTTCTGCAAGAACAGTCTTGCCATTCAGCGTTCTGAATGCCACAACCAAGGTTTGAACACGCGTTTTGAAAACCCTTACCTTACGCTAGCCATCAATCCATTTTTGTAGTGTCCTTTAGCTGAAATCCTGAAATTGTAAGATAACAATGAGGTAGTGCAGATTAAGGCAACGAGGCCTATAAGGCAACTGTTAGCTTAAAATGTTATAAAAGTAAGTAATAACGATAATACATTTCGCTTTTCTAACTGCAGAAGAATAACTGTGTTAGCAAGAGCAGGAAATCCAGCACGTGTGTTGGTGCCATACATACTTGAGGCAGGGGCTGTTAAGGCAAGGCAAAATTTAATCAGTTGTACATGAAGGATGAAGAAGATAGTGGATTTATATACAAGTGGAGGTACAGCAGAGAATTAACTCGGCAAATTCAACAAAAGCAATATGTTAATGATTTTCTTTTTCTTCACTTTTGATTTAGTCTTCCTTTCATATCACCGTAATGTACTTCACAGTAGAAAGAAAATACAGTACTCGTTTTTACTGATTTGGCTGTAAATCATGTAAGACAGGTAAGGAAGGACAAATGCTGAAAACTGGATTGTCAAGTGGAGACTGGAGGTCTTTTGAAGTACTCTTAGCAGGAAGTTGCAGAGGCAGCTTAATTATAAAGCAGCTGAATAGGGAGGATTTTTTTCCCTTCATTTTTACTTTGGGGGAAGGGGACTATCTGGAAGAGGGGACACATCTTTAGAGATGTTATTGTTAAGATCTCTGACTGTCAATATTCTTAAAATTGTTAAGAGCAAATCTTGCTGCTTCTAAAATGAACGGGAAGAAAGGTGTCCCCTTTTTAATTGACACAGCGAGCCCTCCTCTGGGATGTAGAAATTGCTCTATGATCAGGGCAAAAAAGCTTGTGAAACTGTGAACAAGGTTATAGCCATAGCATTTACTTTACTCTCATTTGTTTAATTTGGACTGTTAGTATATGTTATATGAAGAAACTTCAGGATTTTTCACTTCTTTAGGACACCAGCAGGAATAAATTCAACACAAGTACATTGCCAGTAAAAACTAATCAGAGACCCACAGTAGCAACCAAGGAGAAAATGCTTTAACAACTGAAAGTGATTTTCCTTTTGATCCTTTGCCTGGCAATTTAAAACTGTAAAAAATAATGGTTTTATTCCCTGAGAAGTATTGGGCCACAATCCAGACAAAGTTAAGCACGTTGGGCACTCCTTTCAGAGGTAAAGCGAAGCATGTCCTGTAGTTAGATTACTCCCAAAGAAATTAAAGAAACCAGTGCCTTAGTTTGAATCATACGCTTAGCTTTAATAATTTAGTTTTAGTTCTAAGTTTCCATAATCATAGAAAAATCTGATTTGTTACTAGATAGAAGGATTTATCTCAGACTGAGTAATAATGCATTAGATATGTTGCGACACTACAGCTTAGTCTATTAAACAGGCAAAATTATTAAGATGTAAGCTGATCAGCATTATAATTTTGTAGGTCTGGGTCTTGGACATAGCTTTAGAACTGGTACTGTGATTCACAAATTCCTAGTTTAAATCCGTGGGAATTTTGACAATCATAGTACCAGTCTTCTACTTGGATTCCCAATTACTTAAATTGAACCTGATTTTCCACAAGTTTGGGATCAAGTTGTTGATCAGGGTAAAGCTAACTATTTTGATGCAACTCAATTGCAGACAAGAGTGTTGGCAACACATAACTTGTATGGTGCCATATTTTTTTATCGCAGAAAAGTTGGAACATGCAATATGGCCTTTCAGTTGAGTACAGTGAACCTACCAATCCATAACAGAAGTTGAAATGACAGGTCTTAGGAACTTTATTCCTAGAAGAAGTTGCTTCGTGCACTCTGCACGTAAGTAACAGCAAAGCTAATTAGAAACAGACTATAGATCTGGACATGTTTGATATGAAGAAGGCCCTAAATGTTGTTCATGGTATTTCCAATAAGATTTGGGAAAAGCTTCTGTCTGGAACTCTTGAAAGAGGCTGCAGTGTTGACTTCCCTGGAACAGTAACATATATTTCCCAAGTTCATAGTTTTATTAAGCTTTATTATCTCAAGATTTATATTCTGCCTTTTTGTTAAATATCCAAAATAGATTATAATGAAAAAGGTATTATTCTGATAGTAGCCAGAAGCAGTAAAACAAATTAGCAAGACATTCAAAACAGTGCAAAGACTAAAAGGCGACAAAAAATATGAAGATGGTAATTCAAGTATATTAAGCTTGATAAAATGTTGCCTCTCAAAAAGTGAGCAGTGATGGGGCCTTAAAGAGGTTGTTCCAAATCTTGGGTGCCTACAAATATAATGTAGTGTGATTTACAACAGTTCTCCTGAATCTGGTGCTTTCCAGATGTGTTGGGACTACCATTACAAGAATTCCTAGCCAGCAGGACCAAAGAACGGAGATGTCTGCACTAGAACGTTGTAGAATACAATGCTAAAAAACCAGTGAGACCTATGTTTAGCAACTCCATACTATTATCTTGAAAATTGATTGTTTTAGGGACATATGTAGATTAATTTTAACTTGTAAAATTCTTGATGCACAGAGAATTCCTTGTTTTAATCACCATTGTTTTTCTGTTTGTTAAAAGGGTTTGACTATTAGTTTTGTTTTAATGCAGATCTTTTGTAACCCTTGGTTGATTATGGGAGTATGAATGTACTTTAACTCAAATTAAAAAGCAACAAGGGGAATCCTCAAAGCCTAAAATAATGTTGCTAATCAGATATTAGTTAATCTATTAAGTGGGTTTGAAAGTGGTATTTTTTCTATTTTCTTTTTTTGACCCATTTGGTCCAAATAATAATAGAACTCTAATAAATATCCATTGATCAACACTTCTACCTTCTCTAAATGAAATCAGAAATTATGTACTTAGAATAGCATGATTTGAGGAAAAATGTTATCAGTATTAATTTCATTTCCCCCATTTGAGGTTAAAACAAATTTCTATATTCATGAACCCTTATGAATATAATTTTTATTTATATTCATATCTCCCCCATGAATGTAATTTTCATTATATAAAATTATTTAAGACAACATACCCCAAACATGTATCCAGTGTAGTGGAACATTTTTCTACCAATTCTTTCATAATAGAAATAATAAATAAAAGTTATTATATTCAATTTTTATTGCACCTTGTTTTAAAAATATATTTGGTCAACTCAAGGTGGCGAACATACTTTATACTCCCCTCCTGTTTTTCCTACAACAACAACCCTCTGAGGCGGATTTGGCTGAGTGAGGGTGACTGGCCCAAAGTCACCTGCCAGTTTTCATGCCTGAGGGAGGGCTAGAACTCACAGTCTCCTTGTTTTTAGGCCAGCACCTTAACTACTGCACCAAACTGGCCTTCATATGACTTTAATGAATGAATTAAAACCTTTTTAAAATTGGATTTCAGGATTATGCAGGGCCAACTATGAAATGATTCACCTGGTTCTTCTGGACTTCCTGCTCTTGAGTTCCATTGTTTGTTCTCAGATGAGAAAAATTGTCCTGTTCGATTTACAATGATAGAAGCAACAGTTAAGGGAGAAAAAGCTGGGAATACCTCTTCCCAGATTTAGTATTTCTCAGATAGACATTCATTTCACATTTGGGATGCTAAAATTTGACATAAGAAAACCAGAATTCCTGGTAGAATACCCAAAATATTTGAGCATCGTTCTAATTTGTCTGGACTTATTTCTATGAAGAAGGGTTGTATGTTTTTAAATTAAATAATCAAGCTTGTTTTCATGATTTCTTCATAAATAACAAAAAGTGTTCAAACAAGGACTGTAGCTCTATCCATGTTTATTTAGTAATTCAATCACGAATTGCAGCTTCAGTGATCATTCAGTGCTTATTTTTCTTCATTGTAATCAGAGCAAATCTGTGTGGCTATAATTGTAGGCTTAATGCTTTTGTTACATTGTAACTTTTAACATATATTTTCCAGATATTTTTAAATTAGGCTTTTAATTTTTAAATTTTTAGGCAGTTGTTCACTCACAACATAAGACATTAGTTTATAACAGTGTTTCTCAACCTTGGCAACTTTAAGATAGGTGGACCAACTCCCAGAATTCCCTGGCCAGCAAGCTGGCAATGTACAAGCCAGTTAAAACAATACAAAGTGACATTAAACTCAAGAAATAGAAAAGTCTGGGAAAGTTACAGGATTTTAACCTGATGCCTTGGGGAAAACAGTGGTGCCCCTCAAGACAGCAGTCCAGTGCTGGTTGGGGACTTCTGAAAAGGCCTTTTTGTACCCTCCTAATGCACTTATCAAAGGAGAAGCCCCATCGGATGGTCTTTATATACAAGCTAATATGGGGTGATTTTAAATGCAAAACTATACAAATAAAATTTCTTCATAATTATAGAAGTGTCCCTTATTTAAATAATTAGTAAGCATTTGACAAAGAGCTGAAAAAGATTTTAAAACCGAGTTAATTGTTAAGTACGAAGTCATATATTCTTCTGTTTAGAGTATTCTAAAGAATCTCAGAACATCGGCCGAGAAGTAAATTTGATTCTTCCTAAATCCTTTTTTTGGTGAAGCTGACAGTTGAGGCAGGTTGGCCTTATTTCTGGCAAGCAAGGCAAAGTTTCAAGAAGAAATGCATTGCTTCCATCATGCAAAGGATGGCATCAAACTGGAGCGTGTTCACTTTACAATCCTTTCCTTTATCTTGATGCTTGCTGTTAGGCCGAAGCTTATAGGTCCAGCCAATGACTTCTGGTAGGTAAGAAACTAACTGAGCAGGTCTTGCTCAAAATTATCTCACTAATGAACTGCTGAGCTAAGATTTGAATCCATATCTGTAATATTTGTGCTGAGCTTGCTTGTTACTGAAGATTATAAAAAAATAATTTGATTTTGTGGAGAGATCCTGCCCTTTGTCTATGGTGTAAATGAGGATCCAGATGGTATTCCACCTGATATATGTATTACATCTAAACTGATTTAAACTCAGAAACTTTAGTTGATTCAACTTCAGCCTTCAGATCACGTACTTACCTACAGTTGTTGTTGTCAATGTACAAAATGTGTGGACTGGCTTACTGTATGGCTGCTATGCCATTTCCCATCAATGCTATCCTCTTAACTCTGGCAGCTCATCATGGGCCTTTCTTGGGCAATAAGGTCCTCAATTTTCCCAAATGAGATGTAAATAAAAGAAATAACATGGAAGTTATTAATGCCCTGTTTTTAGTCCTCTTTTTTTTTGTTTGTTTGTTTGATTCTGACCTCATCCTCTGTCCTCTAAACTAATTGCTTGAGGTCAGTAAAATGTTTATATAAAACCTAGGAGGATAGGATCTCTCAGTTTTCAATTTATGCTTGGTACCACATGTAAGCTCATTAGTCTTTGCCAGTCATCTTTTGATCTTCTATTAGGCCACACCAAGAAAAAATAGCTGTGCTGGTTTTAGCATGTCTCCAAGCTTGGATTTAAAAAAAAAAAAAAAACAGCTGAAGATTTGTGTCCCTTGGTCTCCATGTATTGTCCAAAAGCCTTTCTGCCTTTTAAAAGCTTTGTTTTCCTCCTCTGTTCCTCTTTTGATATTCTTCATGTAAAAGACAGTTCTTATTAGTGTATGTGTTTTATAACTGTCCTCATCCACATGAGAATAATGTCTTTAATAGGTTCCAACAGCTAGTGTGACCATTGAAGGAGCTTCTGCCCTCAACCGTGTCCGTTGGGGCCAAGCTGGGAAAGAAGTAGCAGTTGGGGACTCTGAAGGAAGGATCTGGATCTATGATGTTGGAGAGGTACTGATCTTCTTTATAAATATTTGGATGTTTTGTAAAGGATTTTCAAAGAATATTCATGCAGTCAACCTTGTCTGGGCTGGGAAGCTAAGCAGAGTTGGGCCTGCGTAGTATTTGAATGGGAGAAAGATTTCTGCAGCAAGCCATAATGACTGAAAAGTAATGATGCACATGATGATACCACATCACAAATCCAACCCTTATATACTTGCATCCTAACATTTGATGCAATTGCATAAGTCAGAGTATTTGCACAATAACACACATTTTGTTGCTTGCTTCACCTGATCCCCTGCAAGTACTTGTGGGATGAGAGGCCACTAGGGAATGGCAAAGGGCTAGAATACAAAGTGGGGGGCGGGGGGGCGGACAAGCTGGAAGAAGGCAATGACAAACTATACTGCCAAGCAGACTACATGGAGGTGCACATGTAACTACCAGGATTTGAGCTTGACTTAAAAGAGATTTGACCTTGACTGTTATGTTGGGGTTAAATCAGTGTATCAGTTCAGCAGCACAATTATCTGATGCAAGTGAAATCCAGCCCTTTTGAAACCAGGGGGACCTCACTTTGCAGTATACAAGTACTTCAACTGTTCCTTTATTCCTACGGTTGCTAAGCTGAATTTCAAGAGATAGACCCAACAAGTTTAAAATGGACGGTGATATGTTCACAGTTAATTATTAAATGCTGTTAACTTGATTGCTGTTCATTGCCATTAACTTCATTGTACAAATGTATGTAACACCTTGATTCAAGGTTTTTTTTTCATTCATTCAGATTTATGCAATAGAAAAGAGTTCTTTAATGTTTTAAATAGATTCTCACCCTTATCCAACTTTCACATGTGTGTTTCTAGCTCACAAGGAATCGGTACATTCAAAGAAGTGCTCCCTTTTAATTCCTGACTTCAGAGCTCTATAAAATAAGCTATAGCCAGGCTGATCAGCTTCTTGGAAGGACCTGCTGCTTAGTTTTAGTTTTGCCTCTCCACAAGCAGCTGGAAAGAATTAATTCTACATGTTCTATAGTTGCAGCCCCAGTGCTGCACACACACACATTGCAGAATGGGGGCATCTGTCTTTCTTTACATTGTACGAAGATGCTGAGACATAGAAAGGAGCTTATAACAATAACTGTTTCTAGCATTTTAGTTGGACTCTGATTGGTTACTTTATATTCCAGGTGCATTTTTAAAAATCTCTCACCTCTGAAGCCTTTGGAGCATAGTATCCCCATGCCCTATTTTGCAGAAGATAATCTCTGTTTACAGACGTTCTTCATTTGGCTTCCCCAGCTAGTCTAGATGTGTCAAGCACTGTAACTCCTGACCTGCCTGGCCAGAATGACTATTGATCTATGTATAATCCAAGGTTAAGTGAATAATAAAGAATCATAAAAAGGGAGCCACTGGCATCTAAACAGTTGACAAAGTAGGCAAATTGATAAACCGATTAATTTTTCTCTACTATCATGAAGAATTATAATTGTGTTTCTATTTGAATGATAGCAACTATTTCTAAATATGCATACAAAAACTATGGAAATAGTGCCCTTTATCCTCCTTTTATGGGCAATGCATTCAGGACATGACTAATTGGATTAACAATGCAATTAATAGACACCTTTTGTTCTGTAAAAACAGCTGAAATAGGGGGATCCATTCAGTGGGTTCCAGACTGCAGAATGGGAAGCGGTTTTACTTTTTCTGTCCTTGACATGTTCCCTGCAAAATCCCCTCCCACAGCTTCCACAATCCCCCAAACCAAACTGAAGTGAGAGAAAACATTCACTTTTTTACCGACTTATACTCAACTCACAAAAAAGTTAAAGAACCCTGTAAAAATAAGTTTCTGAAGTGTTAAGCAGCTGTGGCACTAAATCAAAGAACTTGCAGGTCTGTTTTTTTCTGGTTTTTTAATGTAATCAGTGAAAGAATTGTTAAATGGAGAAGTGATATTGTTTTAAACAATCCTTTGCTCATGGCTCAGAGTTCTTTGAGATGAGATTGTATTTCCAGCTGTTAGGCTTAAAATGTTCAAAGAGTAGCTTGGAAAAGTCAGGAATATAGGCATTCTACACCTGAAGGGCTTTGGTCCCCAGAATAAGTGCTGTTTTTCTTGGCCATTCCAACACTTCATTGTCTCAATGATCTTTAGTACAAGTGTCCAGAGTAGGTCACCACTGTTACCCCAAAGTGCAAATGGACATTGAAGCTGAAAAAGAATTGCCTTCCCTGCATTGTAGGGAGAAGATTGCAGCAAGGATTTCTTAGTTTACAGCCCAATATAGCAGCCACGGTATTACATAACCCCTCATAGGCATCTTTCATTTTGCTATCTTTCTCATAAATAATGAATGAAATGGCCTGTAAATGCTGTTATATGAGTATGCCAGGTATGGATGTAAAAAAATCTGAAATTGTGTTGGAAAGAAGAAGCAGAAACCTGTAGGGTGAAGGGTAAATGTAATGGAAATTAGCAAGCTGAATAAAGCATGTGGCAATGCAATTCTGAATTCTCCCCTACAACAGGCTAAAATTGAAGTAAATTGAAGTCAGTATGGTGTGTGCTTGATGGAATGTGTCTCTTTGTTGCTGAATGCAGCCTAAAGTGTACCATCTGCATTACTGTTCTTGGAACAGTTAAGGGTGACTTGTGTAGCAATCAGCTTTTATAGACTGAATTTGTTTTTTGTCATTATCTGTGATAGGATACTGGGATCCCCACCTCCCCACAGTAGGGAAACATTATAGAACATATACAGATTTAGCTTTAACTCACACAAAGTGATTTTATGGCCCATAGCAAAATTGCTTGAGCATGACTCATATTTTTGGCTTGTGCGTGCTTTCGTGGGAGCCGCTTTGGCTTGCAAATGACTGCAAAAACATCTTGGTGTATCGTTATCATAATTGCTAAACTGTCTGAAGTCATTATGCTCAAATTTCTGCATACGGCACTGGCAGGACGCTTGCTTTATTTATTTATTATTGGGGTGTGGGTGTTCTGAAATACATATGTATAATTTTTTCTCATTCTGAGTGATCTGACAGACACTAGAAATACCTGAATTGACAGTATAATCTTTTCATGTCTGTTGTCTGGAGTCTAGACGGGCTGGAGATACGGCTCTTTGACTTCTCATACTTCAAGCTATTGGGGTATCGTGTTCATCTCTTTTAGATTAGCCATTAAAATGGAGTTATCTATGTTTTATCTATGTTGTGGGTTTTGATTTCTACATTTTTCTTTTCACTTGAGAAACTCAATCAGAGCCCAATGCAAAATACACTGGGAGTGGAAGTTAAAATCAGAATCCAGTTGGATACGTGCTCATCTCTGTATTAGCTGATCTGTAGAATGGGCTTTAGCAACCTAGGTGACGTAAGCTCCATCCCCACTACTGGTCCTAGAATGGTCCCCTACTCTCATGTCATTGTGACTTTGTGGGGCTTCTCTGTCTCTTCTGCAGCTGAGTTGATTGACTTCCACCTCACCTCCTGTTTCAGAGGAAATGCTGCAAATATATTTTGCAACATTTCCTTTGCAACTGTGGGCATATTTTCCTCAGTGGGGACTCACATCTTGTCTCACCTTCTTCCTCCTTCCCTCCAGAAGTCAAGGTATCGTGGCACCTTAATAGGTTTCATCCATCAATTTTGGAACATTCCGGGAGATGCACAACATTCATGTTCCCTAAGCAAGAGCCAGTTTTATTTTTGTCAACAGTAATAAAGATACAGGATGGGAATGGAGCTGGGGCAGGGGGAGTGCTGGCATTTTCATGACATTCCTGACTAGCAGTAGTGGATGCATTTGAGAGTGGTGCGAACATTACTGTGTGAGTTTGAAAGCAAAAGCAGTGGCTATGCAGAAGGGTCACTGTATCTTTTATACTGCATCCCCTGTGAAAATTAATCTATGCCTTTTGCAGTAGGCCCATAACCCTTACTGGAAGATCTTTATTGTCCTTTTCCAGCAATTTAGCCAAACTACTTCTTCTGCCTTTTGTTGTGGAATGGATGGAAAGAAGACACAAGTTGCCTTGTGAAGGTTTTGCAGGTGCTGTGCATTCACAGGAGTCTCTTCCATTGTTTCCACTAGCTGATAGATAGTGTTGGAAGAGATTTTGGGACATGCGTGGCACCTGTGCTGAAGCTCTTCCAAGCAGATGGCAGGCTGCAAGAGGGCCAAGGCTGATAGACTCCTGTAAGAGAGATGCTGGCTTAAGGGCTTTGCACCTCCTCAGTAGCACCACTGAAACAAGTGAACTCTGTCAGTTTCCCCTTCTCTTCAGGATGGGATTTGCAAAGTTCAAGATGCTGAGTTTTTTCCCCTTCTTGTTCTTTTTGTATGGCTCTGTGTGTGTGGGGGGGGGGGGGGGGGGGGCAGACTTTGTTGCTGTTTGATGTGCAGCAGGTTGAGGTGGGATTGTGTTTTTATTTTTTGTTCTCAGCATTTCAAATCTGCAGAAGTGAAGAATATGACACACATTGCCTTCAAACAGCTCCTAAGCATTTGGGGAGTGAAAATGGTGGTGAACAGTCTGACTTAGTATTGTTGAAATGAATAGAGCCACTAAGGAGTTCTCCTAGCTGGCCCACAAGTGATCAAGATGATTGCAGCTTGTAAACTTTATCTTCCCTCCTCAAATGGAAAGGATTGCCAAGGGAGGAGGCAGCTTAGCGCGTTAGTTTCTTTCCTTTGGCCCCTAGCAAAAGGGTCCTGCTGGAAGGGTGTCCTCAGTTTGAAGAACCCTAAAAAGATTGATCAGGATTGATTCCTTTCTACCCAGCTTTGAAGTTGGCCCTGGGTAGAAAACTAAATTAGCATGCAGATTACCAGTTTGCAGGCTTCAATCATCCCTATGTTGATATCTATCATATTTCAGCTTAAAAAGCTGGGTTTATTTCTTTTAAAATGTATCTTTCTACATTTAACTTAGCATACATAAGTACAATGAAGTACCTTTTGTCTTTTTCTGGTTCAGTATTTAC